AACTAGGTGATTTGAAGAGTGTTCAATGGAGGGACTTTAAAAAAATAATTTTACTGGAGTATAGTTGATTTTTATGGACTTCCCTGGTGGCTCAAATGGTAAAGTGTCTGCCTATAGTGTGGGAGACCTGGGTTCGATCCCTGGGTTGGGAAGATCCTCTGAGAAGGAAATGGCAAGCCACTTGAGTACTCTTGCCTGGAAAATCCCATGGACGGAGGAGCGTGGTAGGTTACAGTCCATGGGAGCGCAAAGAGCTGGACACGACTGGGCGACTTCACTTTCACTTTTTAGTTGATTTACAATGTTGTGTTAGTTTCAGGTGTACAGCAAAGTGAATCAGTTATACATACTATATATCCACTCTTTTTTAGATTCTTTTCCCATGTAAGCCATTAGAAAGTACTGAATTCCTTGTGCTACACAGTGGGTCCATATTAGTTATCTGTTACACATATAGCATGTGTATACGACAGTCCCAATCTCCCGTCGCATCCCTCCTTCTCTTATACTTTGGTAACCAGAAGTTCGCTTTCTATGTTTGTCACTCCATTCCTGTTTTGTAGGTAAGGTCATTCGAGCCTGTTTTTTAGATTCCACATCTAAGCGATATCATGTGACACTCTGTCCCACTTGCTTCACTCAGTGTGACCATCACTAGGTCCATGTTGCTGCATGTGGCATTATTTCATTCTTTTTTACAGCCCTAGTGTGTGCTCAGTCACGTCTGACTCTGCAGCCCCATGGACTCTAGCCCACCAGGCTCCTCTGCCCATGGGATTCTCCAGGCAAGAACACTGGAGTGGGTTGCCATGTCCTCCTCCAGGGGATCTTCCTGGCCCAGGGATCAAACTCGCATCTCCTGTGTCTCCTGTGTTGCAGACAGATTCTTTACCACTTGAGCCATTGGGGAAGCCAGGCCAGAATATTAGAGTCAGTTGCCATTCCCTTCTCCAGGGGATCTTTCCAACCCAGGAATCGAACCCAGGTCTCCCATATTGGAGGTGGATTCTTTACCAGCTGAGACACCAGGGAAGCCCAAGAATACTGGAGTGGGTAGGTTATCCCTTCTCCAGCGGATCTTCCTGACCCAGGAATCAAACCACGGTTTCCTGCATTGCAGGCTGATTCTTTACCAACTGAGCTATCAGGGAAGCCCTTCTTCTTTATAGCTGAGTATTATTTCATTGTATACATGTTCCACATCTTTTTTATCCATTCCCACTCCAGGGACTGTTTACAAAGATTTGTTCAAGGAGCATAGAAACCACTTAACATGGTGCAGTAACAGCAAAGCGGAGGATGCAGTTATGGGAACACGAAGGTGGGGAGGCTGTGTGGAAGGAATGGGTCATCTAAAAAGAGCTATGAGATGTGTATGATATATGTGTAGCATATGTATAAGATACATATGTATATCTAACTGAATGACTGCTGTACATCTGAAACTAACACATTGTAAATCAACTATAAAGCACTTAAAAAAAAGATTGACCAAAAAAGATATGACAGTAATGATGTGAATCAGCTGTGGCTCTCATAATATCACTTATGGAGTGCAAAATAATTCAATTACTTTGAAAAACTAGTTGTTCCTTACATTACTTACATTACTTACAGTGTTTTACTTCCTTATAAAACTATTACCCAGCAAGTATTAGGATTTTATCCAAGAACAAAGAAGACATTCACAAAGAAATACAAACATATGTTGGCAGATAGATAGATAAATGATTGTGATATACTAGGAATACTAGGTAGGATAAAAAAAGAGCAAATTACGAATCCAACTTGAATCTCGAAAATGCTGTCCTAGTGAGACTGGAAGGGTGCAGGGCACAACCTTTAAAAGAGTGACATAGCCCCAGGACAAGACATAAACTGATTAGAACCAATTAGGTCCAAGATGGTGAACTCAACTTCTGCTTGACCTTGAGCCTCAGTATAAACTCACTGTAACACACCCCAGGTGCCATGATGGTCCTTGTTGTTGTTCAGTTGCTAAGTCATATGCAACTCTTTGCAACCCCGTGGACTGCTTCACGCCAGGCTCCTCTGTCCTCTTCTATCTCCTGGAGTTTGCTTAAATTTGTGTCCTTTAGTCAGTGATGCTGTCTGACCATCTCATCCTCTCCCACCCCCTTCTCCTTTTGCCTTCAATTTTTCCCAGCATCAGAGTCTTTTCCGATGAGTCAGCTCTTCACATCAAGGAGCCAGAGTACCGGAGCTTTAGCATCAGTTGTTCCAATGAGTATTCAGGGTTGATTTCCTTTAGGATTGATTGGTTTGGTCTTCTTACAGTCTAAGGGACTCTCAAGGGTCTTCTGTAGCACTATAATTTGAAAGCATCAATTCTTCGGTGCTCAGCTTTCTTTATGGACCAATTCTCACATCTGTATATGACTACTGGAAAAACCATAGCTTTGACTATACGGACGATGACCACAAAGGGTCATAAAGTGATCCCATGGTAGGTGGTCCAGTTCCTGGAAATCCCCACCCCATCCCCCAAATAGCTAGAATACTCCTCCCACTCATTAGCCTAAGTAATTACCCAGGTCCATAAAATCCGACAACTGCATACCCTGGGGCCTCTTTCCTTCCAAGATGGCTCACACTCTGTTTATGGAGTGTGTTTCCCTCCTGAATTAACCTTCTTTCTCTTTACTATGGCTTGCTGTTGAATTCTTCCCTGTGTGAAGCCAAAAACCCATACTTGGGGGCTGTCCCAGGGACTTGGACATTACCTGGGATCTGACCATCCTCTTGCATCTCTCTCTTTTTCCTGCAACATCAGAAGGAGGTTAACATCTGAATGATAAGAATTATGGCTGTCCCAAACCTGCTCCTCCATAAAAGCGATAAACACACTGGCCAACACTTGCCAAAATTACCTTTTCAGAATTCTGGATATTAACTAAAGGCTTGCAACAATCCTAGGAGTGTTTATTCAAGTAAAAATGTCAGAATTCTGCTAAGAATTTAAAAAAAGAAAAAGAGTTATGACTGTCTGTGGAGGGATGGTCCCTCCAAGGGGAGCAGAAGCCATTAGTGCTGGACCCCACCCTCCTGCCTTCCTTGATCTCACATTCATGTCCCTCATTGACCCAACCCAACTGAGAACCAGAGGACAAAGGAGCCTGTTGATGTAGTCCAAGCACATGAGCCTCCCGGGGCACAGAATGCAGCAAAGAAGGTTAGAGGATGGATTTGGAGTGACACAGCCAACCCAGTGTAACATAACCTGGGGTCTCCAACTTCCGGGATCTAAAGCCTGATGATCTGAGGTAGAGCTGATGTAATAATAATAGAAAGAGAGTGCACAATAAGGGTAATACCCTCGAATCATCCTGAAACCATTGCCTCTCTTCCCTGGTCCGCTGAAAAGTTGTCTTCCACGAAATCAGTCACTGGTGCCCAAAATGTTGGGGACTGCAGCACAGAAGGCATGTGAAATAATAGATTAAAATATCCTGACTCCCCAACGCTTCCATTACTTGACTAATTTTTATTATGAGAGGGAATGAACTGGAAATCAGATGTTTGGGACATAAGTCTGCCTACCTTTCTTTGATAATAAACAGTGTTGTTTATTTTTATTCTACTCCTACATAAGTGCATCATTTACATCATTTTTTGTGCTAGTGTGCTTCTGAAATGGGCTGATACTTCACTAGCATCACTCCTTTTTTTACCTGCAGAGAGTGATTTGTTATAATTTTTGAATATGCCCTCAATTTTATGTGACCACTGAATTGGCATGCTGCAGATTTGACCCAATTATTTCAGCCATCTTCACGTTTGATTCTCATCACTACAGGTTGAATGAACCGTGTGGCCATCTATATTGATAACGAAGGGACTTGCATGCAAATGATAGGATCAGCGGTGCCATAGCCTGGTCGTGCTGCACAGAAACAGTCTTCTCAAGAATCAGTTTTAAAAAATCAGCAGAAGGAAAGATGCTGACCCTTTCCAATTCTTTTCCATTTGAATTTTCAGCTACACTGTCACCAGCATTTTTTTTTTTAAAGCGAATACAGTAGGACAGGTGTCCTGAAATAAGTGCCCTGTCTTTGGAAAGAGCAAATGGGTGACAATATCTAGATCTGAAGTTTACAGCAACACTGAACTGACCATACTGGTTATCCTCAGGGAGCCCAGAACTACATGACATATATTTTCTGAAAAGAGGTTGAAATCAAGCAGAGTGAGAGCAAAATTTGCAACTGGGGACTAGTTAAAATTTTATGCAAAAATATATAATACCAAAATGAGGCATGATGGTTTAGTCTTCTTTCCAATTATAGTTAACCCTTAAAATCTCTAATAAAGAACTGTCATGGTATATCACAACAGCTATATCTTTGTCATCATCACTAATGGCCTTATAAAAAATTTCAGCTTTAAGGGGGGAGCTATAGTTTCTTAATCAGATTATTTTGATCTTAGGAGATTTGTGTGTGTGTGTGTGTGTGTGTGTGTGTGTGTGTGTGTGTGTACAGTTACAAATTGTTAGATAGAGCAGGATTTTATTTTTGTTTTTTCCCTAAAGGTGGTTTGTAAAGCTAGACACTGTCTTATGGAAGCCTACTGATATGAACTGATATTTCTAACATTCATATATTTATTTATTACAAATATGTTATATATTATTGTTGTTTAGTTTCAAAGTCATGTCCAGCTCTTTTGAGACCCCAAGGACTATAGCCTGCCAGGCTCTTCTTTGTTCATGGAGCTCTTTGGACAAGAACACTGGAGTGGGTTGCCATTTCCTTCTCCAGGGAATGTTCCTGAGCCAGCAATCAAACCTGCATCTCTTGTATTGGTAGGCGATTCTTTACCACTGAACCACCTGGGAAGTCCTCATATTATGTATTACATATAAGTAATAAAGAGTAATATTTATTGAGGAGGCTTCATCATCCAGTTTATTTATTTATTAACAGTAATTTAAAGTTTATACCAGCTATAATGCAGGTTATTCTGACTTTAAGGTAGCATCACATGGCATACTTCTGAGTCCATTCCCGAGATATTCTGTTGTACTTATCTCTGTTTTATAGATCTGTGCAATCTCTGGCACTAGGGGGTCATCTGGGTTTGGATCACACAGCAGTGAACAAATGGATAAAAGAACTTTAGAAATAGTTAAAGCAGGATACCACTGTGGGCTTAGAATATTGAGGCAAATATTGGCATTACTGTTAATATTTGGATGATAAATTCTTGTTGTAAATGCAACCTTAGGTGGTTTGAAGGGGTAGTCTGTAGGAAAATGAATTGTCAAAAAGAATACACCGCCTTGATATGGACTGTCGTTAGGTCCCGTAACTGTGGCTTGCCAATGAAACATATCATCCCCAACTGGACCTGCAGAACATTGTGCTGGAGGGTCACGGGCCAAAGCACTAAGTTTCTTATTAATCTGTTTCAGCGCCATAGTCTGTGCTTTTCGTCTGGCTTCTCACTATCTCGGTGTGTGCTCGAAGGTCCGGCCCAAACTCTTTGATTATCCCGGAGGCTGGGAAGGATTGTCTCTTCGTCTCACACCGGCTCTGCCAGACACAGGCGCAGAGGGGCCGGGCCTCCCTCGCGCTGCGGCCTCGGCCTCGGCCTCCTCCCCGCGGCGACCTCGGCCTCCTCCCCGCGGCAGCCTCGGCCTCCTCCCCGCGGCAGCCTCGGCCTCCTCCCCGCGGCAGCCTTGGCCTCCTCCCTCGCGCAGCGACCTCGGCCTCCTCCCCGCGGCGGCCTCGGCCTCCTCCCCGCGGCGGCCTCGGCCTCCGCCCTCGCGCGGCGACCTCGGCCTCCTCCCCGCGGCGGCCTCGGCCTCCTCCCTCGCGCGGCGGCCTCGGCCTCCTCCCCGCGGCGGCCTCGGCCTCCTCCCTCGCGCGGCGGCCTCGGCCTCCTCCCCGCGGCGACCTCGGCCTCCTCCCCGCGGCGGCCTCGGCCTCCTCCCTCGCGCGGCGACCTCGGCCTCCTCCCTCGCGCGGCGACCTCGGCCTCCTCCCCGCGGCGGCCTCGGCCTCCTCCCTCGCGCAGCGACCTCGGCCTCCTCCCCGCGGCGGCCTCGGCCTCCTCCCTCGCGCGGCGGCCTCGGCCTCCTCCCCGCGGCAGCCTCGGCCTCCTCCCCGCGGCGGCGGCCTCGGCCTCCTCCCCCGCGCGGCGGCCTCGGCCTCCTCCCTCGCGCGGCGGCCTCGGCCTCCTCCCTCGCGCGGCGGCCTCGGCCTCCTCCCTCGCGCGGCGGCCTCGGCCTCCTCCCCGCGGCGGCCTCGGCCTCCTCCCTCGCGCGGCGACCTCGGCCTCCTCCCCGCGGCAGCCTCGGCCTCCTCCCCGCGGCGGCGGCCTCGGCCTCCTCCCCCGCGCGGCGGCCTCGGCCTCCTCCCCGCGGCGACCTCGGCCTCCTCCCTCGCGCGGCGGCCTCGGCCTCCTCCCCGCGGCGGCCTCGGCCTCCTCCCTCGCGCGGCGACCTCGGCCTCCTCCCTCGCGCGGCGACCTCGGCCTCCTCCCCGCGGCAGCCTCGGCCTCCTCCCCGCGGCAGCCTCGGCCTCCTCCCTCGCGCGGCGACCTCGGCCTCCTCCCCGCGGCGGCCTCGGCCTCCTCCCTCGCGCGGCGACCTCGGCCTCCTCCCTCGCGCGGCGACCTCGGCCTCCTCCCTCGCGCGGCGACCTCGGCCTCCTCCCCGCGGCAGCCTCGGCCTCCTCCCCGCGGCAGCCTCGGCCTCCTCCCTGGCGCGGCGACCTCGGCCTCCTCCCCGCGGCGGCCTCGGCCTCCTCCCTCGCGCGGCGACCTCGGCCTCCTCCCCGCGGCGGCCTCGGCCTCCTCCCCGCGGTGGCCTCGGCCTCCTCCCTCGCGCAGCGACCTCGGCCTCCTCCCCGCGGCGGCCTCGGACTCCTCCCTCGCGCGGCGGCCTCGGCCTCCTCCCCGCGGCGGCCTCGGCCTCCTCCCTCGCGCGGCGACCTCGGCCTCCTCCCCGCGGCGGCCTCGGCCTCCTCCCTCGCGCGGCGACCTCGGCCTCCTCCCCGCGGCGGCCTCGGCCTCCTCCCTCGCGCGGCGACCTCGGCCTCCTCCCTCGCGAGGCGACCTCGGCCTCCTCCCCGCGGCAGCCTCGGCCTCCTCCCCGCGGCAGCCTCGGCCTCCTCCCTCGCGCGGCGACCTCGGCCTCCTCCCCGCGGCGGCCTCGGCCTCCTCCCTGGCGCGGCGACTTCGGCCTCCTCCCCGCGGTGGCCTCGGCCACCTCCCTCGCGCGGCGACCTCGGCCTCCTCCCCGCGGCGACCTCGGCCTCCTCCCAGCGGCGGCCTCGGCCTCCTCCCCGCGGCGGCCTCGGCCTCCTCCCCGCGGCGGCCTCGGCCTCCGCCCTCGCGCGGCGGCCTCGGCCTCCTCCCCGCGGCGACCTCGGCCTCCTCCCCGCGGCGGCCTCGGCCTCCTCCCTGCGGCGGCCTCGGCCTCCTCCCTCGCGCAGCGACCTCGGCCTCCTCCCCGCGGCGGCCTCGGCCTCCTCCCTCGCGCGGCGACCTCGGCCTCCTCCCCGCGGCGGCCTCGGCCTCCTCCCTCGCGCGGCGACCTCGGCCTCCTCCCCGCGGCGACCTCGGCCTCCTCCCCGCGGCAGCCTCGGCCTCCTCCCTCGCGCGGCGACCTCGGCCTCCTCCCTCGCGCGGCGACCTCGGCCTCCTCCCCGCGGCGGCCTCGGCCTCCTCCCCGCGGCGGCCTCGCCCTCCTCCCTGGCGCGGCGGCCTCGGCCTCCTCCCCGCGGCGGCCTCGGCCTCCTCCCTCGCGCGGCGACCTCGGCCTCCTCCCCGCGGCGACCTCGGCCTCCTCCCCGCGGCAGCCTCGGCCTCCTCCCCGCGGCGACCTCGGCCTCCTCCCTCGCGCGGCGACCTCGGCCTCCTCCCCGCGGCGGCCTCGGCCTCCTCCCTGGCGCGGCGACCTCGGCCTCCTCCCTGGCGCGGCGACCTCGGCCTCCTCCCCGCGGCGGCCTCGGCCTCCTCCCCGCGGCGGCCTCGGCCTCCGCCCTCGTGCGGCGACCTCGGCCTCCTCCCCGCGGCGGCCTCGGCCTCCTCCCCGCGGCGGCCTCGGCCTCCTCCCTCGCGCGGCGACCTCGGCCTCCTCCCCGCGGCGGCCTCGGCCTCCTCCCTCGCGCGGCGGCCTCGGCCTCCTCCCCGCGGCGACCTCGGCCTCCTCCCCGCGGCAGCCGGTGCCTCCCAGCCCTGCGGGGCTCCCGCACCGCACGGCCACAAGATCACATCCACTTCAGTGCTGACTGAAAGAAAGGGATTTTTCTTTAGTCTTAACTGGCAGCACTTTCAAGAAAAGAGTTAGCAGTGTTACAACTTATTCCCTCTCAGCTGCTTTTCTCATAACTTTTTAAAAAAACTTTTGCTCAAGGGGAACCTGTAAGCAGATAAGGAGCTTAGAACCTGTAAAAGCAAGGAGTCCCCTGGCGGAGTCGGGGGAGGAGGACCAGACAAAGTTTTCTTAACATAAGAGAAGCTGTGTTAGGCCGAAGTCATTTTGGGATCTAAGACAATTCTTGCCCTTGTAGAAGAATAGACCTTAGGAATGAAAGATTTTAAGGCAACAAAAGAAAGTAAAAACCAACAGTTATAACCAGGCCAGGGGGACAACTGTACCGGGAGACAGTGTATCAGTTGTAAAGACTCCCAGTTCTGTTCCAAAAGTAGAGACTGGCACGAAGCACTTTCTTGAGCTGTCTCTCAGATTTCAAACCACTCAACCACCAGATTAACTGGAACCTAAGGAATGACGCTGCTGACCTTTCTGGCCCTCGTGACTGCGGTGAACCCAGGCCTGGACTCTGTCGACCTGTTGCTCTAGTTCTATGCTGAATTCTCCTCTGCTTTAAGCCCCTGATGAATATGCATCTATCACCCACGCCCCCTCATGAATATTCATATATCCCTAGCTTAAAGCCTTCTAAATCATGGTAAGAGAGCATGATGACCCATAACCTACTGCTCACTAGACTGTATAAACTGAATAATACGTCTTTTTAAATATCTATGTATTTATTAATTGAAGGATAATTGCTTTACAGAATTTTGTTGTTTTTTGTCGAACATCAGCATGAATCAGCCACAGGTATACATATATCCCCTCCTTTTTGAACCTCCCTCCCATCTCCCTCCCCATCCCACCCTTCTAGGTTGATAGAGAGCCCTTGTTTGAGTTTCCTGAGGAAACTTTTAAAACTTTTTAGAAGATGAGCACATCTTTTAATGTACAGCACTCTGTCTCAAAAACTTATATAACTGCTTTGACCTCTGATGGACAGAGGCTGTTCCCAGGTTATAATCTTCAAGTTGGTTCAAATAAAATTTTCCATTTCTTTCTTTGATCAACTGATTAATTTTTGTTGACAAGTGAAATAATAGCTTTCATGATTCTCTGTACACTATCCAATCTGTACACTGTTGCTATTTACTCTTATTGAAGTATTGTTGATTTACAGTGTTCTGTTAGTTTCAGGTATACAGCAAAGTGATTCAGATATATGTAGCACCTTTATTTTTTTTTGGTATGTAGGATCTAGTTCCCTGACCAGGGACTGAACCTGTACCTTCTGTGTTGGAAGTGTGGAGTCCTAACCACTGGACCACCAGGGAAGTCCCTATAGGATCTTTCCTGACTGTTTGGGCCTCATTGATTATTCTTTATTCTGTATCTTTCATTTAGTAGTTAGAATATGCTATCATAAAGAGTTGGTTATATTCTATGTTTGTATTCTAAGCACTTGATCAAATTTTGAAAGGCTAGGACTGTGTTTTATACCCCAGTTTTTTCTATTATGCCTGGTAGAATGCCTTATAATAGCATGCTCAACAGATATTAGTTGTTGTTGAAATTCTGGAAGGAAAAGAAACAATAAACTTCCAAGCCATTGTTCTACTTTGCTTTGACCTTTGTTTCCAGTTGAAGGTTCTTAAGTCTGAAACAGTGTCAATAGCAATTTACATGATTCTATCAAGTGTGGGTGTTTGTTTTGATTTGTTGTTGTTTTTAGTCGCTAAGTCATGTTCAACTCTTTTGGTGACCCAATGGATGGTAGCCTGTCAGGCTCCTCTGTCCATGGGATTTCCCAGGCAAAAATACTGGAGTGGGTTGCCCTTTCCTTCTCTGGTGGATCTTCCCAATCCAGGGGTTGAACCCACATCTCCTGCATTGCAGGCATATTCTTTATCACTTGCTAAACTAAATGCACTTGAGAGTGAAGACAGACTTCTCTCTTGCTACATGTAAGAAATTAGAAGGAGATTTGATCATGTTTGCTGCAGCAGATGATCAAGGGCCAGTACTGAACAGGGAGGAGAGCTCTGCACCAGGAGTCAGGGTGGGCTCTTCTCCAGATGTGTGGACTGGGTCATCATTTTGTGTATTTTCTAAGGCCTAGTCATTTAGGACATGCCAAGGCATCCCTCTTAAGG